CTGTGTAAATTGAGGGCGCAATTAAAAATTATAGTACTCAGGGGAAATTTGATTGGCCGAATCTATGGCAGCCATCTTGGATGGTACACACACACAGCTCTGCGTATTTCGAACATCGAATTCATTGCTGTTAGCGCTCTAGTATTCTTATTATATCTCTATGCCTGAAACGCAATGCAGGGGGTCTAGACGAAGTTGGAGAAAGGCAAATCGTTAAAAGAATAAAAAAACAAAACAAATGGATTGGACACTTATTACGACATGGTTGTCCCCCCCCCCCCTTTAGAAGGAAGATATCTTTGTATAGTCAAAAGAGATGTGCATTCCCCAATCAAGGAGCCTCGATCGATAGCCTGAAACACGGCAACACAAAAGAGTTAAGGAAAGAAGTGAAACCGTATAATGTGCGGGATAGATGGCTACTGCCAAAAGGATCACTGATTGTTCGTTTGATTTGGTTCGATGGTTCTGGGATACATACACAATATTAACATAACATTCTTTGAAATATTAGTGATAAGCATACTCTGAGTGGTTACTATGTTCAAACGTGAGATAACACAGGCGACTCTTCAAATATTATGATCATCGTATTTAGGCCTGTTTACCTATGTTTATTTTATTACAAATATAATTCATTTTGTTCGTTCATGAACGTCATGCTGGTCAGGCCCGTCAAATTATAAAGTGTCCGAGACCCATACTTCGATAATTTACGAAAATGATACATTCCTCTAATATTATCTATTTTTATTGGACCTTGAATTGGCTGGTAAACAATTTAATACTTTATTTGTGTGTGTGTGTTACTATAGGCCTAGGCCGTTAATACAAATTAATACTTTTAAATTAGCTTTTCAGTCTTTCATTATTTTTAAATTTGATTTTCTAAGGAATCTTTAATGATAATTAATTAAAACTAGTAATTAATTAAAATAAAACTAGCTATAAATACACCGACAGTCAACTTTCTGCCAATTAACAAATGAACGTTATAATAAGGTATAAAACTTTACGATGAATTTTACATTTTTATGTTGAAGAGGTTTTTCTTTTTTCTTTTTTCTATTTTTTAAAATTTTTACAACACAACCACGTATACCACCTAATTATGTTGCTGCAGCATTAAGTGTTAAAGACATATTATGAATATTTAAACCAACGTTAGCAGCAATATTTTTGCTTGGCTGCTTCTCACCCCCTCCCCACCCCATCCAAGAAGCGAACAAGTTTAGTGTGTTATGTACCATACATTCAGGAGAATGATAAACTATTACATAATTTGCTGAAACACGTATCAGCATTTTGCTATTAACTGCACTAATTATAATTGCTATGATATTGCGTCATTAGGTCTATAAGAGGCCCTGGTCATTGGTTCTATAGGTACTAATATTTTGGCATTGGTCCCTGGTTTAAAGTTCATAGTAAACTAATATTTATATAAGAAATTTACTGTTTGACTTGGATGCAGTAACAGCAGCGGATGTGTATTCAACAACATGTGACCATTATCAGTTTAAAATAAGATAAATAGAGAAAGAAAACGTCATACAGTGATTAATCAACTGTGAACTGATGGATCTGCAATAATGGAATTATTTGGTCCCATTTGATGGCCAGAAGGACTTAAGCTTGCTTGGTCAACGGGTAGTATGTATCACGGCGAAAAGTACCCGGTAAGATATAGCCTAGCCTATATTCTTCTCTTAGTTCGTATGCTTATAATTCTATGATAGTACAAATAAAGTAGGCCCACTATCGGACCATGAACTTTTATGAATAAGCTCGACCAAGTTTTGCTGTTTACGTGGAATAATATAATAACAATAATAATAATGATTCTGGATTTATATAGCGCCTCACGTTGACACAACCTCGAAGCGCTTGAACATTATTACCCCCGGATCACTGGATCAAGCACATATGGAACACACACTCAAGCCCCATAGGGGAATTCCATAATTTTGCAGCTGTATTCAGCGCAGGCTGTGTTTAAACCTACCAGGTACCCCTTGTACTCCTGGGTGGAGAGAGACAACCGTAGATAAAGTGCCTTGCCCAAGGACACAAGCGAATAACGTGGTATAAAAGTGCTTCAGCATCATTTGAGAGAGAGAGAGAGAGAGAGAGAGAGAGAGAGAGAGAGATGAGAATAAAGGCAGAATGTTGAACCATCGACTTTGGTCAATCAAAAGTTGATTGTCGTAATTTAATCTATTATTTTATCAATTGATATTTATATGAGTAGTATGTCTCCTATTTTGCCCTCAGTACGATATATTTCTGAAATGAAATGCATGAGCATTGATCGTTTGATTTGTATGTAATTTAATTATTCATTGATAGATTGAGTATTAATAAATTGATAAATTGATGAATATAGGACAGATAGATTCGTTGATAAACTGACGTAATTAATGAATTGATGTACTGTTCTTTACTATAGCTTAGTCTGCTAAACTAGTGGTAGCCACTATGTGTGAGTGGAACCGTGAATCTCTTGGTCCCCGGTTCAATTCCATCGTTGCTCTCCTTGCTAGGGGGGCTGAAATGCAAGTTACGATAGCACACCGTCTTTCAGATGGTTTGCCTTATGGCCCATGTGCACTTTAAAGAACGCAGTACACTCTTCAGAAAAGAGGGATTGTCTCCCGGTGTACTGCCCAATCACCACCTGAATGACCTCACTGGAAATAAGTTTTTTTCAGACTTTCGTGGGTTATTCTTGGTGTTTACACCGAATGAATTCATTGCATACATTGCATAAGTCGTTTAATGTTTTATATTTGTTATATTTATCTAATCTTTTTTAATATTGCCCCGTACACTTTATTTATCAGAATCAGTAATTATATAAATTTTCATAAGAAACACTTCATTTTCAGATCCTAGGATTAAAAGATAAACGCACCTCAAAATCCGCATCAAGCCTCGGAAGTGCAACAGAATCCTATGGAGTGTCCGGCTACAAAAGTTTATCAATGAGTGAGACACGAACATTGTCGAATGTTTCCGACATGGAATTTAGTCAAGAACTGGCATTCGGGGAAGATAATGACATAAGTAGACATAGCCAGGTAAAATGCATTTAACCCCAGAGTTTTTGACTAGCAGCTTCACCCCTAACTAATAAGAGATTGGTCAATTTGGGTTCAATTATCAGATTCGCTATTCCTCCTTGCTGGTATTTAAAAGTCTACACACTTTTGAATAATGTTTTGTGATCGAAATAGATAAATAGTTGTAGTAAATTTAACTATAATCAGGGGCGGATCCAAAAATATCTGATAGGGGGGCCGAAAGGGGGCCAAAAGTGGGGTCTATCGAGATAACTCCACCTTAGGGGGTCCCCTCGAAATATTTTTTTTCTAGACGCCCGAAAATAACCTCTTATGCGTTTTAGGCGATCAATTTTTTTTTTCATCCTTCCAATTTTTTTAAATTTTTATTTATTTTTTACTTTTCAAAAGGGCCGTACATTACGTACATTATATATATAT